GCCCTTGTGGTCTCTTCCAACTCTATGATTCTATGATTCTATGCATAGTTGGACTGGTCATTTTGCAACTAGACAACCATCTTTCTGGTGAGCATCTGTGCTCTATGGTCCACAGAGGAGAGACATGTTGATCACCTCCATGGAACCTGCCAGGGCTTGTACTTGGATGGTGTAACCTTGGAAAGCCTGTTCAAACAAAAATCTATCAGTGATACCTTTATTGGCCAACCAACATGCACAATATACTTGTTGCAAGCTTTTGAAACTCCATTTGCTTCTTCATCAAGCAAGATGTTACAAACCAAACAGGAGAAAAACAATTGGAGATGTTAGTCAGGTGCCCACATATTGTTTCAGTCTTTAGTTAGGATGGTCTATGGTGGAGAGGATATCTTTTGCAGGAAGGCTCCTCCTCCTTCTGGCCCTGTGGCTATAGGGAGATTGGCAAAGTCCAGAAAATTTAAAATCCATTTGCACCCCAACAGGGATCCCTCTTTTGTAATCCAATATGTCTCCATTCCAGTGAGGCCACAGGCCTCTTTGTGGCAGAGAACAATGGATCCCTCAAGAAGTCTCCATTTGTTTGCCTCAGGAATATTTTGGTGGATGCAAAGGTAAAACATGTGAATTCATTCCAAATTCAGGAAGAAGAAACATTGTTTTACCTTGATTGAAGTTCCTAGTCCACAGGCTTGGAAAGCCTGAGATAACTTCCACAACTGTGAAGTTTGTGGAGGTGACATTTATTAGATACCTATGAAACAAATTTTCATCATCACAAAGCAGAAGAGGAGTGTATTAAAAACCCCAGCAGTTAATGTTGTTAAACATGCCAGAGATAAATTATCTGGGTTTCTTAATCTTTTAGGAAAGAGTTTTGAAATATGTTCCTTTAATCTGTTTTGTTTATTGTGATTGTTTTAGTGGTTTTACTGCTCACGTTATTTTTAGTGATCTCTGTTTAGTTGCCTTGAATGCTATTTTTTCATGGGGGTGGGGAGGTAAAAATATAGTAATAAATTTTTTAAAAAGGAAGCGTATTTATAGTTATAGTTGCCCAGCAACTTATGGAGAGGTTATGGGTGTGGTGACATTATAGGGGTGCGACACTAAGGAACATGTTCCTGTCCTTCACGTGTGTGGGAATAAATTCTCAAATGTATAAAAAATTATTTTTTTTTAAAAAAATGTCCCTCCTTTCTACCAACGAGTGGCACTCAAGTCAGCTTGATAACAGTAGGCCTTATGTAGCTATTATGTAAAAATAGTCAGGGAGATGGAGGGGAAAAAATGAATCAGCCACCATAACAAAAGGGCCACAGAATCTTGTGGAATTAGTGAGCACATGAACCTCAGGAAAGATGGAGTTTTCTCATTGGATTTTGTATGAAAGGCATTCCAGGTGAGCAATAACGTACATTTTTGCCTTGGAGGGTTGAATCTGTTATGAATATCATCTCCTTTAGAGCATCCTTTTCCTGGTAGACCTCAAGTCTCCACCAACATACTTATGCTGTCTGAAAGGGAGAAACTGTCAGAGTTAGTATCCTTTGCATGCCTAATTGCTAGCTTACATGTTTGCCGACTTCCAGTTTGTTTGCTTTTCCACATCTGCCTCATTTTAACCTGTCTTTTCATGTGTCACTTTCACCTGTGGTCATTCTTTCTTCTGTTTCTTCCATTACACCATGTTTTTGACACTCTCTCTGTGTGTGTGTTGTTTGCCTTCAAGTCATTTCTGACTTATGGCGACCCTATCCTGGGGTTTTCCTGGCAAGATTTGTTCAGAGGAGGTTTGCCATTGCCTTCCCCTGAGGCTGAGAGATTGTGACTTGCCCAAGGTTACCCAGTGGGTTTCATGGCCGAGCAGGGAATCGAACTCTGCCCTCCAGAGTCATAGTCCAATACTCAAACCACTATACCATGTTGGCTCTCGTATTTGACTATTTGACTTGTATTAGTAAGTAAAGCTAATTTATATGTTTACAAAGAAGATTTAAGGTCATTTCATTTCTAGACTTTGAGGGACATGGGAGTGGTTGTTGTTCAGCTTCTGCCAATATGATTACTCCAATTGAGAAATCTACTACTATCTCTCACATTTCCCAACAGAGGCAGTTCTTTCTCCCTTTCTCCCCCCCCCTCCCCAACACCACTGTCTCAGTTTAAAATTACCCACTGCAAACAGTTTAGCTGAAATGAATAATTTTGGTTGGAAAGCTTCAGACAGTGGTTCCAAACCAAGCTGTGCCACTCCTTTTCATTGGTGACCAAAGGGCAGGAAAACCTTGGGTAAACACACCTGCGTTACCTTGTGTCTATGGCATTGACATTGGCAGGATGCCCTCCCTTTCACTGTGATTACAGGCTTATTATTGACACAGGTAAGTAAGCCTTCTCAACTTGTTACCCTTTAGTCCAGAAACAGTCAAATAAATTTATCTTTATTGAGTACAATCTACTCAGCAGTTCAACAGAGGCTTAAGACGGCTAGCTACTGCTGTTTCAGAGAAACCCAGCACAAGCAACACAAATGCTCAAATTCAGTCTCCTCTCTGACTTCTGGTCAAGATTTCTTGAAGGGGCAGTCACATAATAACAATTGATAAATGCAATTTCTCATACAAACTGTAATTTGCTAAATAGAAATGTCAATGAAAAGAAAATATGTTAATAAACGAGTTATGAAAATCACAAAAAAATAAAATAAATGCAATGACTCTGATTAACAGGAATGTAAGGCATTTTCAAATTCTTTTCATAGCCACAGGACAAAAAGGATACTTGATGATTTGTGGTTCCCCACTCTGTTTATTTCCTTTACAAAATGGAGTCACATTGGCTGCAGCCTCCTGTTCTTCTCTTAGTTTTTAATCCACCAAAAATGGAACTGCCTTTGAGCTGCCATCTCCTGGAGTTGCGAAAAAGATGGAGCTGCATTGCGGTGTGTCCTCTGAGCTCACTCTGTTATCGTCTTTCCCCAGTCATGTGTCCTCCAAGTTTTGGGGACCATCCCATCATTGTTGGAAATCATCCTGGCAAGATCTGATGGGACCTACAGTCCAAACCATCCAGGTTGACTGAGGTTGCCTTACATTAAACCATCCCTCTCATTGTTGATCCCTGAGCAGTCGCTGTGATGTTCACAGTACTCTTTTCACCACAGGTGGATCAGGTTTCCCATGAATGAAGCTTGGAGCCTTTAGTGTTTGCCCTCATATGATAGAATTTGGAAAAGGACAAGTGGACCAAAATTATGAGCATCTTCCTTGTGCTGTTGTTGCTGCTATTGAGGATTTGATTGAATCCCAGGAGGAGAAAAAGAAGGCTGCCAGGTCCCTCCTTTTAACTTTGGAGACAGATGTATGATTTTCTGAAAACTGCTTGTCTTCCAACTCACCAAAAATGTTTTGTTTTGTTTTGTTTTCCCTTTCTTCTTCGTGGTCTCTGCGAATCTCACAAATGGGTTTTGTCTGCGAATGCGCAGCCAACTCAGAACCTTCTGGAATCACTAGGCAGAAGTTGGATTGCAACTTTTTGGCGGTAGCTCCGCCCACCTCTATATAGGCTCCGCGTTCCCGCTCGCTCCTCAGTTCCTTTCGTCCGCCGCCTTTGCAGCTTGCAAGGAACCTCGTCACTAGTGCAGTTACTCGCTAACGGCTTTTGACCAAAAATCTCCTCGAATTTCTGGATTGCGACTACTGAATTCTGACCTTGGACTGTTTTAACAACTACGAATTTGGATTATCTATGAAAAACTCGACACTTTGACTGTTTCTGAACCGGACTGCCCAGACCTCGTGTTTGCCTCATCCTCCAAACTATGATGCCATGGCCTCCTTCAAGCACTGTGTGTCTTGCAACTCCAAGTTGCTGAATTCTGACCAGCACGATGAGTGCATTTTCTGTCTGGGAGAATCCCATAATCCTACCTCCTGCAAAATGTGTAGGAAAATGATGCCACAGGCCTTGAAGAACCGCATGGTGAAACTCAAGGCGGGTCTCTGGGAAAAAGCTCTACAAGCCGACTCCCCAGCTTCTGCTTTGGCTTCCGAGGCCATAAGGAAACCTTTCTCGGACCCCCCTCAGCGGGGCAGATCCAGGGAGAGATCTAAGAGGTCCTCTAAAACCTCGGAGAGCGTGAGTCCTAAGGGCTTGGAGAGGGGTGGGAAAAGGTCCTCCAAACGCAAGCATTTGGAGACTATCGCTGAGGCCCCCTCGCCCTCCAAGAAAGCCCGTTCGTTGTCTCCCCAGCACTCTGCCGACGAGGAGCAACGCGAGACCTCTCGGAGCAAGTCACGGTCTGGAGAACCCGTACGACTCCGATGGTATCATGCTCCACGCCTCCGGCAGCGGCCCTATCCGTCCCGGGCCCGACAGGCCCAGCGGGTTCGAAGCCATCCTCCCCGATGGTCTGCCTCGACACCAAATCCGAACAAGAAGCTCAGCCTTCGTTTACCTCTCCACGTGCAGCTGTACCGCCTGCCGTCTCTCCGTCCTTGGGCCACAGCATCGGGCTCGAGCCTGACCCAGCATCGTTGCCGGCCTTGGTCCAGATGCGACAACAATGCCCTGCCTACTCGGCTTCGGATTCGTGGCTCTCTAGATTTCCACAACTCAT